AGAACCAATAATATCTAATATATAATTATCCAATAAAATATAAATATAAAATTAACCAATAAAATATAATAAAATATTATCCAATTAAATTTATGATATGAATAATCAATAAAATAAGAACTAAATATTCATATCATGACAATACTTATAATAAATTACCAAAAATCCAAAAAAATTAAAATTATATTTCTTATAATAGAATTTTTGTTTGATTAATAAATATTTTTTGTTTTTATATTAAAATAAAACTAAGTCTTTGTATTTTAATATATATTTTTTATAGATTTTTTAATTTAATTTCAAGTATATTTTGTATTGTAAAGTTAATTATATAAACTTTTTATAATTAAAAGTTCAAATTTATTAAATTTTAATTCTAAAAATTTGAAATTAAATTTAAAATTCTATAAAAAATATATTAAAATATAAATTTTTAGCTTTGATAATTTATTAAATATATATTTCAATTTTTACAAGAAATTAATAAATTTAAATAAATATTTATATTAAAATTATAAATTTTATATAATTTTGTTATATATTATAATTTTTTTCAGATTTAATTTTTTATAATATTTATAATAATATAATAATAAAAATACTTTTAATGCAATTAATATTAAAAGCCAATAAATTATTAGAAATTATAGTAAAAATTCATTTTTATTTAGTATTATTCAAGAATTGTTATTTTTTAATTTTGTATTTAATTATGCAAAAATAATATTGATTTATTTAATAAAATATATATAATTCTTTAAAAATATATAGCTTGTAAAAAGCACTAAATAAATATTTAACAAATATAATTCTCAGTAAAATTTTGATATTTTGATATTTTTCATAAAATAATTTTTTTATATTATCAATATAAATAATATATATTATACTAGAGCATTCTCAAATAAGAGAACATTTTTATATTTATCAATGTTCTCAAAAATGATCTAGTGTTCTTTGAGAATACTAACATTGAATTTCTAATATAAAAGGAAGTCAGAATCTTAATTAATCGAATAAATCTAAAAAAGGATATACTGGACTGATAACTCGATATTCTTCCCAGATGAATCCGACAAGAATTATTTCGAGAACCTGAATTATTTTTCAAGGAAGGGAAAACAATGTGTAATCCTATTCCTTTTCTTCCGGGTTGCTTCGGGAGGTATAAAGTACTTCCACGTCCGATTCATCAAACATCTCTAAGAGAAAATCGTCGGTAAATCAAAGGTCGTCCCAAAGTAAATCGGAACCAATTTCTGGATTTTCAGACGCGCCTTCACCAAGCTATAATAGAAAGATATCCGGAAAACCTCTAAAAGGCTAAATGCTGCAGTGTTGGCAAGTGACATTGAAATGACATCTATTTCATTGTCGTTATAAATTTCAAGTGACATTTAAAAATAGCAAATGACTTTTAAAAAATAGCAGATGACATTGTCACCTAAATTCGTGTAGCAAAACCATCATGATATTACTCAAATCTCAGTGCAAGCACAACTCCCAATTTCAAGAGTATTATTTCCAAATAAAAGAAAAATGTTGCTGATGGTAATGGTGAAAATGGAGCTGTCTAGCAAAAAGTGAGATCAACAATCATCCAATTTGGATATGGGGGATTCCAATGACCTTGCTAGCAACCAAGATTGTGAACATAAAAGATCAAGAAATGATTCCTTTTTTTTTCATCAACAATCATCATATCGATATAAAGAAAAATGTTTTTTTTTATTTTACATAATGTAACAAATACTCGAGCCATTACAATTAATAAATAATTTTCATGTTCCTTTAATTTGGAAAAAAGGAGTAGTTCGGTTTTTTTTACCAAAGATTTTTAGTGAGGAAAAATCAACTATCTCGGTTTGGTAGTTGAAGTAAACTACGCGTTTGTTAAATCAATCAATACCACTTACCGCTTAAACCATCAGTATTAGTATTGACCTTACATTATGGCTTCGCAAACACCACCACAACAATCGCAACTAAAACTTCAAACCCCCGCAAAACTTGACGATCAACGGGGAACATTAGGACTTATTAACAAAAAACTCTACTGGAAAGATGAAAACAAAAAACCAATTTTATCTGTTTCGTTATACGACATTCCTAGTATGTGAGGCTATTTCCCATTTTCGCATTACATTTTCCCACTAGAATCGTTGTTTAGTGCCTTGATCCAACTATTACCGAAAACTAACGCTCATTTTGAAAATCTATATAGAGTTATTTGTCTCCAAGCCTGACAAATTTCCACAAAAACTAAAAATATCATATCCAGACAAAAAATCCCAAGAAATCACAAAGATTTTCGAATTAACCGCCAAGGATGCCAAAACTGACCTAGAAAAAATCAAAAAAGTCTGGGTGGCTGCACAAACCAAAAATACCTCTAACGCTAGCACATCTTCGGCACCATCACCGGCTTCTGGCGCATCAACACCTGGTCGAACAAGAAAGGCGCCACCACCTATATCCATTGAAGCAATCGAGCAACGAAAAAAATTGTTGGAAGGAAACGAAGAGCTACGATTTTTGCATAAGGAAATGGTGTTTAATGGGCCGATATCTGAAGAGGATTTCTGGGAGCAGCGGCAGGTAAGATTGTCAATATATGGTTTTTTTTGTTTGTCTTGATCTGATTACATATGTTCGCGTAATAATTTATCTAAATATTATGTATATCTAGCATTTATTACGAGATCAAAAGGCAAAGGACGAACAAAAGAAAGGAAGATCCTCAAAGATCCCGGATTTACAAACAACAACAGAAGAAGGCGGTGAAGTGAAAATCACAATAAACTCTTCAATAATTAATAGTATCTTTGAACAGTATCCTTCCGTGCATAAGGCTTACATGGAGAAAGTACCAGCTATGATTTCTGAGTCGGAATTTTGGACGCGATATTATAGCTCCAAATTTTTCCATAGAAATCGATCCGGTAAAAATCAGAATAAAGACGATATATTTGATGCTTGTTATCAAGAAGATGAAGAAGGTACAGTGATGATTGTTATGATGGATGAATGTTTACTGTGAAAAAATTTGCTTTCAATCTTGTATGTAAAATTTGAGCTATTATCTTTTAGAGTTGATAAATGGCCCAAAAAGATTAAAGACGGGTAATATCTTTGTTCCTATGCTCATTGATCTTTCTTTGACGGAGGAAGATCATATCGAGGTAAAAGAAAACACACTCGCTATTTCTTATATTATAATAGTAAAAAATTCAAAAGCCCAATTAATTCTAAATTCTTTCATTCACAAGACGGGAAATTTACCTGATGTAACAATGCGACCGGGACAAGCTAAAAATGTGCCTATTCTTCGACGATTCAATCGTCATGGAGAACGCGTACTCAAATCGATAAAGTACGCATCATCAATCCCCTAATCTCATGAAACCATTTTATATATATAACATGCAAAAAATTTGAATTTATTTTTGGTTCAGAATGTCGAATTCAGGAAAATCAATAATCGATGAGTACAAGAGCGAAATACTTATTGAAGAGTTATATCAACCAAAGATGGGAGAAAAGATTTTACTAGATATCAAAGATCAGACAAAGTATTTTCAAAGCTATGAAAAGACTATTCAGAATCCTAATGGAGCTGAAAGTAATCGGGTTGAGGTGTATCATTTTTATTTTTTCATTATTATTAGATATAATATTTTGGTTGTTATTCCCAAGATTTTTAAATGATTGTTTTGTGATATTAACACTTATTATAAAATCAACAGGTTTCAGCAAATGCCGTCAAAGCACTAAGTAATAAGATGATCTCATGGAAACCAGATTTGAGAAATGTAGGGTTTTTTTAGTTGTCTACTAACAGTCACCCTCTCTACAATCACACCTTTTCCTGATCCCAGCTATTATGAAGCATAGGAAATTTGACCTCTATATAGTCGGTCCCGAGGGTGTGATTATATGGAGGTACGACTGTATCGATCCAGTTCATTAATTTTATAATTAATTGATTTATATGATCGTGATATACCAGCTTTCCTTTAGCGCGCAAAATGCATCACAAGTAACTGCAATTTTGAATGGGAAAATCAAAGCAAAAAATGAGGAAAGTGCGCGGGCTACAGAAATCAGTAAAGTTTATCGCTATTTTTTCAAGATTACTTAATCACCATTCATTACGCGATAGTGATGCGTTTGAACCATTCATGTATACCATTTTCAATCTTTCCTCGTTTTGTCACAAACACAGGGTCACAAAAATTACCGCTCGATCTCGAGACCGAGATAAAAAGAATAAACTCGACCGGTAAAGAGTTTCTCAGACATTACTGGTCAGCAACAGTTGGAGAAAAAACTAATCCAATTAATACTGGAAAACGCGAAAAAATGTATCAACAGATACAAAATACATTTGAGAAATTGCAAGCGCTTATGAGGCGAGCAACAGAAGACGATGAAGAAGCGCCATCATCGGAATCAGCAAGTCAAGTTGAGAATGTATGTATTTTTATAGTTGTGAATTGGTTAGTGCTATTAGTAAAAAATTCAGTATAACAAGGGGATTTACTCTGGACCCAAATTCGGTTTATCAAGGTTTAATTGGTGGTGATTCGGTTTAACAGGGCTGACTTGTATAATACATTAATCATATTTTTTATTATTATATTAGATGTTAATATCAATACAAATCGCTTTGCAACACGCGATTAATGATTATGAAAAAAGCCAAGGAATGGAAGGAGGACCGATTGGTGGTGTCGGTGTTAGTGGTACAAAAACAAATACCAAACGAAAGAAAGAATAACAACAAAAACTCACCAATAGTAATAATGATAATAATGGTGATGGTGATGATAATAATGGTGATGATAATGGGGATAATAATAATAAAAGAAATAAAAGCTCCATCATTGATTATTATAATGTTTGCACTCCTTAGTTGCCATTTTTGAATTGCTATTCTTTCATCTTTTTTGTTTACTTTCGCTCTTTTTTATCATCGAATTCATAATTTATGGAATTGGAATTCACTTTTGAATATCAACTCCAAAGGCTTCATAGTATTCTTTCAATTTTAACAAATGACACATATGACGCAATCATATCATAAATCATATATTACAGTAAGCGAAGTTGCTTAATACTAAGCGAAGATAGTGAAACAACGGGTATCCATATTTCCCAAGATGCTAATTCAACACAACAAATAAAGGATATCCGAATTTTCACGACAATGATCACAGAAAAGAAAGTTTGATGAGAAATTAGAAAATGAAAATTTGAATCATGCAGCTTTCTCTTCAGGTAAACAAACCAGAGAACTTGTGTAATGGAAGCCGCACGAAAAATATCCTTTCTTCCTCTTTAATTGAGCATGCTTCAAAACATAATCAGATCATTTGAAGCGAGTAAAAAGGAGTGATCACTACTAATTGAGTGACAGGAATCAAGCGAATCTTCAGAAAGTCATTCTAGGTTTGATTTTCATACTTATTCTCGAGATATCTTTGATTTGAGATCGTTAAATGTTATCTTCTATCTACTAATTTAATTCATTTATTTAAAATCAATTAGAAACTCGTTTCTCTCGTGACAAGTATCGACATAATTGTCTTTAATGGCAAGATATACAGTAAGACCTCTCTAAATGTACTTCACCCCAAGGACCGGACATAGATGTGCATTTAGAGAATAACCGAACCAGAGTGCATCACAAACGATTCTTAATCTTCATCAAAAATGCCAAGAGCCAAATTTGGAAAATACATATGGACCATCAATTCTGTTTATTGTGCTCTTTTGGATAGTTGAAGCGTTTCAAGCTTTGGGTCTCATGTAGATATGCAAAGTATGATAGTATTCGAAAATCAACTTTATTGGAAAAGCATTCAACATATTCTTGTTCTTACTTTCGCTGATTAATGCAGTGGGATACCAGACCAACGGAGATTTGGTCAATTATATTTTTATTTATTGTTCGAAAGTCTACCTGATTGCGGGCGTCGAGGCAATTTTTTTATTTGGCTATAAATGTGCATACAAAAGTTCAAGATTGTATTGAGAAATAACCGTTAGAATAGCGAGGAAAAACAATTGAATAATAGTTCATTTTCAACTTTTGAATGATCGTTATTATTGTTATTGTTATGCTATCTTTCGAACAATAATACTTCAAGCACAAAGTTGCATATCATTCTACGCCAAAGAACTATTTGCATACAGATAGATATTAATATATGGGTATATTATTGTACATTCGCGATCAAGTTGAAAAAGCCGAAAAAAATTTAATCTTCGTAGATCCATTTACAAGAATGTCCACCAAAGCTGAAGAACTTCACAAAAGAAAATCAAAATTACAAATAGCCGGCATCTCATGCACAAACTGTCGCAAAACGTCTAAAGAAGCTGGAGTAGCAATCTTATTGCGATGTACACGATGTCGCATGTCGTATTACTGTTCAAAGAATTGCCAAAAAGCAGATTTTCCAAGTCACAAACTATTCTGTCAAGCGCTATACGAACTTTCTGCCAAAGAAGAAGCTTGGAAACCTTGTGACGGCAACGAAGCAGAGTGGAATAAACGCGTCATTGAACATATACATTTACTCGACGAAGCACTCGACCGCCCACTAACAGACTACGAAAAGAACTCGTTACTCTACCAACCAAAATGTCAAGTATGTCTCATAAGCCCCGTGGAACTGAAATCGCCCCAGAAATTAATTCCGTGCTTGTCTTGCATGATTATTTCGTGTTGCTCGGAAGAACATTGGAAAATACATCGACCGAAGCATCAAAAACTATGCGAGACTTATAAGGATATGATTGAATGCGAAAATATAATTTATGAGTTGGCTGGAGAAACCGCATGGGCACAAGAAGAATGGGACGAGAGTCGAATGTTTCCGCCACTCCCGAAAGATTGGCAAATGTATTTTGAGTGGCGTCATGCGCCGATATTTTCTGAATCGCTTTTGAGAGTTGTTACGAATTCGTTATCTCCTCCTTTGACTATTCTTGCGGCAATTGAACGGTTCTATACAAGAGACGAATTACACGCGTTAGATGAATTAGTGATTCATTTGGTTGGAGCAATGCAATATGAAATTATGTCATTGTCTTCTTTCGAGGAAGTAATGCATGTATTACCAAACATTAAAGTGCTTCGTCTAATACTGGTAGGTTTCGAATTACCAAGTAAAACAACTGCCGCCGGAATCAGCATGAAATGCTGTCCCCGATGCGAAAAAGAAAATCGTAAACGCACATGCGCGTTATTTCCCACTTCTTATTACGAATATGCCGAATCCCCGGGCGATTATGTCAAACCTCATATCGTTGTCGGCTTCAATACCGGCCTGCACGAGGAAGACACTGAACATTGGGAACCAACCGTTAAATGTTTACTAGATAAGGACGTTCCTTGTGTGTTCACGTCTTATTCGAAAGGAGAAGCTGCACAAGATTTACAAGTGTTGAAAGATTGGGGCGCGAAAATTATTAGTGGGAATAAAGAGAATAGGTGGAAGAGTATTGTGCCTTTGATTGAACCACAAGTTTTGGATAAATTCTTTTATAATAATTATTATAGAACACTGTTTCGGGGGAACGTGTCATGATGTAAATCCATTTATTTTTGTATATTATTTTCATTAAAAACATATAATTGGATGCTGCCAAATAATCTTTAATTAATGGGAGCAGCATCAGGGCGTTGATTTGACTTTCTTTGGTACTTGACTTTTGCCAGATCATCAACCCAGACACCTTCAACTCTTTGATTTTCTCGGACATTATTACTATTATTATTATTATTATCAATCACTGTATACGTGTTTACATGTTTTAACAATGTTTGTACCGTGGACGGCTCTAAATTATAGTGTGTGGCTAATATCTCTATTGTCCATTCTTGAGGGGCCGATTTTCTATTTTCGAACAATTGATGAATATCCTGGATTGTTAAGCGATTCCGGCCAATTTGGGTATCATCACTTTCTTCTTGTTCTTTGATTGCTTTTCGGCGGTTTAAGATTACTCGCATATTGTTCGACTTTTTCAAAGGCAGAAAATCAGTAAATGAAGAAAATAAAATTTCGTCATTTCTTTCTTTACCTGTTTATATCGTATGTTGGTTTTTGGCATCATTACTTGTTCGATAGAAGAAAGATTCTGTAATAAATGTGGATCTTTTCCATCAACTTCAATAGCTATTTGATCAGAAGTTAACAAAAGTTATAAAGCATTTAGAGCAAGTTAAAATATCAGAACAAATTTCCGTATTCGCTATCCTATTCACCTCGATCACGTGTCATGCTAGCCAAGGGCCGAGCAGTTGTTTCTGCTTCCCTTTCATTATTTATTTGGGAGCGCGTTTCTGATGCACTTGATTTTACATTAGTCGCTACTTTTTCGGTGAATTTCCTGGTTGGTATTTGTTTAGAGATTGCACCTCCCATTTTCAATTTTTTAAATAAGAAAAATCATCTCGAATCTTTATGTGTAACATCTGCATCAAAATCTTAATAATAGATCAATCTTGTCACATTTTTTCGTTCGTCCTAGAAATGACATCAACTTCTAATATTACTACTAAGAAAAGTGATAGTGGTGGTGTCTGGGATACAAAGCTTCAACAATATCATGGAGGGCAAGACTGGAAGTTTTTAGAAAACTTTGTTGAGGATTTTTCTGTAACTACTAATGCGCTTGGGATGCCGAAAAATGCGTTAGAAGCTGCTAGAGAGGCGGTTAGTTAACACGAACTATATTTTTTCTAACTGATCTATTAATTTACTTTATTATTTGTTTGAATATAGATTTATACCTGTCATCATTATCCTCCGGCCGACCAAGAACCAGCCAAAACATCTCTTGCAGAGTTCCTCTGGCCGAATGACCACGCAAACCACCACAAAAAACTACTACTAGGCAACGGTGCAAGTGAATTGATAGATTTGGTCATAAGGTCTGCGGCACCTCATGGTACATGGAAACCTGGACCATGGGATGTTCAAGTGAGAATATATAACTAATTGAGTTATTGATTGAATGTATGCTAGTTTTAATTAACTTTTGGGCACATTATTGACATAATTAACACATGTTAGTTTTTCTATTGTAAAATTTGATGCTGTAGTATAAAGAGTATCAACGCGCGGCAGTAACTAACGGTCAAAAGATTCTAAGTGGGCAAGAAGAGCGTAGTGCAAGTCTTTTGTGTATTGTCAATCCGTGTAATCCGACAGGCGATTATTTTGTGTTAGAAGAGTTGAAGCAATGGATTGAAGCGAACGTAGAAGATGGTGGCGTCGTGATTGTTGGTACGTGCTTGATCGATTTGTCTGACTTTATCATTATTGTATGTACTGAATATTCTTGACGCGTTCGTTCGCATTCCTTCATTTTACTAGACGAATCAATGCAGCCGTGGTTATCACGTGATTTTCGATCCGATTCATTAACATCACAACACGAATACCTCGCATCTTTATATTTAACTAGAAAAGTTTCCCTTTATGTAATTCACTCATGGACAAAATTTTGGTCGTGTACCGGTTTACGACTCGGCTCGGTAGTATGCCCGACCACGAACCACTGTGACGCGTTAAAACGTCTACAAGTTCCGTGGAGTGTTAATTCACCAGCACTGGCATTCTTGCATGCTGTAGTCAAAGACGACGCGTACATGGAAAAAACATGGCAAGTGACGCCGGTATGGCGTAATGCATTAATTGAGCGATTAAACACTTTATTGGGGATTTTTATCAACGGACAAAAGAGCAATACAAGTAGAGTTGAGAACAACGACGACAAATCACTAGAATGGAAATTTTACGGAAAACCGTTTTTATCGTGGGTTTGGGTAGATCTAAAGTCTCAAAAAACAGCACAAGAGGCTGTTGCACTTGCTAAAGCTGCGGGTGTGCCGGTGAGAAGTGGGCAGCCGGGATATGAGAGACCGACGTTTGTGAGAATTGCTGTGAGGGAGCCGGAGAAAGTCGACCGTTTGATGACGGCTTGGGACAAGTTAGGAATGAATTGATGATTTTAGTGTGTAGAAAAATGTTATTTATTCGAATAGATTAATTTAAAATGATTTTTTTATGAGCTTTTTTGATCGTCCAATAAAAATCACGATTAAAATAAATGAAGTCGCGTCTTTTTAAAAAGCGTATTCGCACTTAAATTATTGAATTCAGCTTATACCAATACTACTACAATAATATAGAGCCAATAATATTAAAATTGAATAGAAAATAGTAAATAAATAATAAATAATAATGCCTTCAACCTACACTGATACACACCGTCTATTTCTTCAAGCTTGCATCACGGAACGGTTTTTCCCTCATAGTACTGGGCTTGATATGTTTAAGCGTGCTTGTGAAGCTACAAATGGTAGTTTATTTTATTCGGGAGTCATAACTGTGACTTTTTATGTGAATTGATGGAAGAGGAGGGATGTACTTTTTTCGCATATTTTATTATGGATATAAAGTTGCTTCAGTTAATAGCAAAGAGAAATGTGATATAATAAAGAGTCAACCCTTAATTTACAGTTTGAAAATACCACGATACCAAAAATTCACATCAATAATACTAATAACGTTAATAATAAAAAAAAATTAGCTCGATGTGAAGACGACAAATTCGGTGACTTTATCGATACGATCAATGAGAAACTGAATTTCGTGGAATTGGAGTTTCGCAAAAGTCATGATGAGGATACTGGGGAGGAGGTTTTGGCGTTGGTATGATAAAAAATCACACGCACACAGATCCAAAGAATTCTTTGATCAATTTGAATAAATCGGCAGGTAAACACAAGCGACGACGAAATCGCCAAATTGGCAACTGATTATACGCCTCTTGAGATTTCTTACTTTAGGGCTTTGGTAACGTGTTATTTATGTTATGGTACTTTAGTTTGAGTTTGGAATGAATTCCTAAGAGAGAAACAAACTTTGCTGCACATTTGTATTCATTCTCGCTGTATACAGATTGAAATGATCATCAATGCTGACGACGAAACGTACTCTGTATCCGCAACTACTGCCATAAAAGAAAGTTCGAAACTCAAACCCTCCATGACCAGAATTGCGGCAGAAAGGGCTCTGAAAAGATTCGTGGATGATAAGTGGCTTATGAAGACTTCGTACGATGGGAATGCTAGATAATTTTGTTTGTAATTTATGTTGTATTATTGTTTTTGTTGATGTTTATTATTTTATTCTGTGATATAATTCAGAGCTGGAAGGTATTCGTTAACTCAACGCACAATATTGGAACTACAGAATTATCTAAAAGATCAATACGACGAGTCGATACATGAGTGTACACTTTGTTATGATATTGTGACCAAGGTTTTTCATTATCTTTATTATCGTTAAATTGCAATTATTATAGAATTGTATAATAAATAAATTATAATGATTAATAAAAGGGACAACGATGCAGTGTCGAAAAATGCAGCACGCGTCTACACCATCATTGTGCCCGACGAATGTTTCAAACGAAACCGCAATCTGAAAGAAAGTGTCCAACCTGTTCAGCTATTTGGCGAGAAACGATGGTAATTGGTGAAAATGCAGTGTTGGCTAATTCGGTGGTGCATTCATAAAGAGATGAAGATATGTAGTTTGATGTGTTTTCCCATGACATGTCGGATTCGATTAGTTATAAATTAATAAAAATCATATGTTTCTCGTGAACACTTTGATCATGGAATCAAATAAAGCTGAGCTGGCTTGGTTTGGCTTGGCAAGCTAATCTCAAGCCGGTTTTAAAAAGCGAAAAGCAAGTCCAAAAAAATTCACAACAAAAATTTACAGTATTATATATCATAAATGAGCGATTTGAAAAGTTAAAAAATTAGTTTTAATTTCAACCTAAAGATTCTAAAAATCTGAAGCGTGGAGACGTCCATTTGAGTTAAAGACCAGCAGTTTGCATGAAGATCGGGATCAGATGCAAAAAGGTCAAAGTGATGATGTTGATGTTCATATCGATATAGATGATCTTGATTATTCGAGTTTATGAGTCTTGATGCTGAAAGGTAAAAAAAGCCTTGCACAGTTTGGACTTTGGTGCTCGTTAAAATACCTGATCCCTTGACATACTAATAACGATGCAGAGTGCAAGACTCCCTTATCTCAAACTAAACCCTCGGACATCAAAGTCTTTAAAGCGGCGGCCGAGAATCTAGAAAGTCTAAGGTATTTCTTTGAATATATTGCTTAATTTGTGCACTTATCAAATATTGAATGATTTGTATTAAACAGAATTTATTCCACTTTTCGAAAAATTCAAGAAAAAAACTGAGAAAGATGCTTATTCGTAAGTATTCGACCTGTCATATTTGATTTCATTCAAAGAGAAATAATCCTGCACTATTGAGATACTGAAATCTTCTCAATGCATAGGTGCACCCATGACAATGTTATGGACATTCGAGGTGACAGTCAGTGGTTTTGCAAAATTTCTGAAGTACGAATATGAGAAACTGCTTGCTGCAAAACCAAAAAGGGAAGCTGCAATACCAGAACATTTGCATCGAATTGTAAATGAGTATTTCATGGTAAGTAGCATGGATCAAGACAAAAAAATAAGTTGCAATTGTAACATGGATGAATCACGTTCATATTTTGTAGGAGTCTGTAAGCAAAGAGGGGGATACAAAAGAGGTCACAGAGATCAAGACTTACTTGAATAGAGTAATGATGCCTTTGTAAATATTGGGAATTTGAAAGATTAATATTCCTATTGCTTGTTATGACTAATATTGTATTTTTTTCACCTTATGCTGCAGGATGGACTTGTGTCGTAAACCAATTCCTGATATAAGTGCACCAAACACCAACAAACATCATTACTAGGCAGAGTATGGCCACCGATTCTTTTCCAGAGCATTGCAGGATTTTGCAGGTCTACGTAAGTGTTGGGTTTGATAGAACATTTTGTCATTATGTTAAGTTGCATCTGATTGAAATTTAATTTTTCCCTTCTCAGAATGGAGGCGTCTGTATCTCTTCCAAATACAGAAAAAACTATGGACTCATAGTAAAAAGTGTGGTTGAAGGCAAATTTGCCGATCTGTTGACCTCCACCTGGGATACAGGAGAGGAAGTTTTTGTCGGAGAGCAAGCAGAGCCAATCAATGACATTAACAATTTATTTTGAAAACAGTAAAATAACTATTAGTTTATTAAAAAGTAGAAATATTTTCATTTAACTTTTTTCTCAGAGAAAAGTATAGTTACAGAACAGTTTACAATATTTTGTTCCTCACTGTCTGATTCATGGCATACAATGAGATAACGAAGGACTTCACGATGGTCATTGAAGGTTTTATCAATCTCAAAGATTTCTACATTGATGCCAATAAGTAAAGAGACTTTCTCGTCATCACTCATACGGTTATATATATCCCGCTCCTTTTTGAAAGCACCGATCAAGACTGTCCGCATTTCCACCCTCTGCTGATTTAGATACTTTTCAAAGGCCTTTTTCTCATCTTTCATGTTCCGATTCCATTTTGATAACAAAAACCAAGATTATCACATTGTCCGTCCGCATTCTCACCCTTTGTTGTTTTTAGACACCACCCAAAGGTTTTTTGTGTTCTGATTCCATTTTGATAACAAAAAACTAAGATATTATGGACAATTCAATGATATCTGAAATGACGTCAGAAGCCTTGATTAAATCGAAAACTGCCATACTTAAAAACTGAAATCACGTGACTTATCACAAATTTTAAGTGTTGCCGTTCTGCGCGATTATATAATTGATATTCTCAGAAAGGATATTCTATAATTAAAGAACTTGAAAATCCATCCGACACTTTGATTCACGAGTGGTCAATTTATTGTGGATTTAAATCGAACTAGATTATATTTGGTTACCTATTTCGAGTTGTAGTGTTGAACGTAGTTTTTCATTTTGGGATAATCATTGAAAAATTATCAATGATGGAATTTAGAAATACGATTTATTTTTTTTCAATCTCATCAACTCACTTTTAAGCAACACATTAACGTTAAGTAACGATTCAAGTTCTTTTTATCAATAAAATCACAAATTTTAACACATCGAGCATAACATTACATAATAACCTTCTACGCTATTCCTATTCAGTCGATGAGGACGCCGCTCGCCTTGATGAATTGCACCAACAGAACAGCAACATGATGAACCTACTACATTTGGTCCAATTTCATCGATAGAATTACACCACAGAAAATAGTTCATCGACATAATTACACCACAGAAAATAGTTCATTGACCACCTCCTTAACGTTAAACCATAGGAAAATTGGCAACCTCGTTATAATCACAGTTTTTCATATCCCGAGAGTGTGACTATATCGAGGTTCGACTGTATAGTATCAGATCGTCATTTCATTTGCCTAATTTTGCTTGATTAACGATAATAGTTAGTACCGGTACACAGTATTCACTAATCTAAAATCGACCATATCGTGGATTTTATTAGAGGCAGTCTTCAATGCTATCTACTATAACTGGGTAAACTATAAAGAAAGTCACTGTGTACTTATTTCGCTACCCACAAAATCGAATATTGTAATTAATTATCTAGTGCAGCAAAATAAGACATGTACATGTATTATTGACGAACTGATTCTCTATTTGCTATTACCATTTTTGGCGTTATTGACAAGTTCAGTTGAGAGCATTTCAGTTAGTTTTTGTTGGCGCACATGCATGACAAGTTCAGTTGAGAGCATTTCAGTTAATGACAAGTAACGAACTTTTATTTTCATTTATCCATATTTATAAATAGTCGACTAAGCGTCATCAGAAATTAGAATGCTAAACACTAGTCACATTACATCGAGTTTGAACACGTGTATAGCCAATAGAAATATAAAAATCAGATTAATTCATGCATTGTTTATTACTTTTTTTTCCTTTTTCTTTCTTTCTCTTCCTGTTACTTCGCTTGAGCGGCGCTAAGTTCGCAAAAATGTTTTTCTTTTTTTTAAATACAAGAACACCGCTATTTTGCAAAAGGTTTTTCTTTTTTTTATAAATACAAGTCGGCGCCGCAAAAATTTCTTTTTATTAACCATTCACTTATCAAACTGACAAGTCTTTTAATAGAATGTCATCGTATTAAATGTCGTTATAGCGAGACTGAAACTTGGTTTAATGTAACGACTTTTTGAGAGTCTGACATTTATTTTTTTTAAAAAAATTTTTATGTCCTTTATCGACATGACAAACTTGGGTTTGTATGTTCCATGTCTTCTGTCAATTTTTAATATGTCGACTCTACAACGAGCCTTACTTAAATTTTTAAATTTTATATTGGTAGAAAGTTGACTGTTCTAATAACAACTGAAACCAGAAATCATGTGATAAATCATCAATCATCAATCATGTGTTCTGGATGCTATTATGTAGGATGCAAATCATGCTAAAAATAAGGATTACACAACCAACGCACGCATATACTCGCATCAACAAAGAGCGATAAAAGAACGATAAAAAGCAATATTAATAAAGATAAAAGAAAACGCTCTTATCGGATGTTTTGTTAAAATACTATACGTTATGGCATCATCATCGAGAAGGCCACTATCTAACACAGAGGCTGCTAAAGCATGTATGCTGTTTTTCTTCATATAATCAATTCAATTGTAATTTATTCGATATAATTCTAATATTTTCTATTGCATTTATTTTAGCCAGGGCTCAAAGAAAACTAGTCAAGACAGTAAGAGAAGAAATAGAAAGTATTAGATATGAATTGTCGGATCTCGAAAAAAAATTAGAGATTAGCGAAAATAATAACCAGCATTTACTCGAAATTAACAAAGACTTTAGAGAGTATATTAAATCAATGAGCAAAATCATAACTAACACAAACGATAGAATTGGATTCGATAAAGACCATAGAAATGATGTTTATCCTGCATCAGATCTGTCTTTAACAAATATTCTCTCTACCAATGACAACCGTTATGATAACCACATTAGCACGGAGGCTGATGTAGCGTGTATGCTGTTTTTTCTTCATATATTCAATTCAATATATAATTCGATATAATTCTAATATTTTCTTATTATACATACATTTATTTCAGCCAAGACAGGACAAAAGAAATTAAAAGCAACAAAATTAAGTCTTAACAAAAAATTGTCGGATCTCAAAAATAAACTAGAGATTAGCGAAAATAATAACCGGCATTTACTCGAAACTAAAGAAACCCTTAAAAACCATATTGAACTAATGGAAGGACTCGTTAAAAAGAGAAATGATGCTGATGTTGCATCAGATCTGTTTTCAACAAATAATTTCTCCTGGTCAATAATTGATGAATAACGACAGCATCATCCATAACTACAATCTAAATGACAACCGCTAGAATAACCACATCATTAACATCAACGAGATCAACGATAACGAATAAATTACTATTTATACAGTCAAACCTCGTTAAGCCGAAATTGTTTCCAGTAACAGTTCTAGTAAATCCCTCTCGATAAACCAAATTTGTACTAATAGCCCGACCAGTTCGGCTTATCGAGGTTTGACTACTATTGTTATTATCTTTCACAAAGGTCGATTCATTCACCTAAGAAAAATACGGTTTAAAGTACCCTGGGTGCTTTACATGTAATTTAGTATTAATCAATATATTAGAATAGAAATATTTTACGAAAAGTGAGGTACTATACTGTGGGGGGGGGGGGGGGATACTTTAAACCGTAAAATATGGTAAGAAAATTTTAGTTAAGATTATATAAGGCTATCGTATTAATAAAAATAACCTTTTGTTGATAATTTACATCTTCGGTAAACTAAGAATGCAGACATATTATCACCTGAGTTATGACACTTGTGTCACAGATTACGACAAGAAAAAAAAGAGTCACGAAGGCAATTTTACATATAATTTTTACTCCAGCTCTAGCCCTACCCTAATCCTAACTTTAAATTAACCTTTAACAATAACCTCTATTACCGTAGAATTTTTCCGGACACACAAATATCACGTGAACAGACCCTTTTTTTTACTCCGCTTTAACGATACCCCAATTTTGGAAAAAGAGGTTATCGTTATTTTTTTGGGATCAACAAATAAATGATTTGAAACCAGTTACTTGCGTTGTAAAATCTTACTTTCTTTTACTGAGCTTCTTACCGTTACCGTTACTATGTTGTCATAACGACATCATCGTCTAACTTGATAGGCCGAAATTAAACTAAAAAATTCGGGTTGTTGTTTGTTATCCGTGTTCGTCGTGTTACTTATCCACTTAACCGACGAGAAGGAAAAATATAAATACAAGGATGCATAACAAAAACTACCAATTTGATTCTTTTTTTATTTTGTTTTCATACCAAAGAATGGGAGTGTTTAAAGAGTTCGAAGCTGGTCTTTTTTATTGAGATATATTTTTCATTTACTTTAAATATACATAAATTCTTTTTGTCTACTATTGTATAAAAAATGAGCTTTTTAAATTTCTTTACACATGCGGACGCGCAAACAGTCGACAAGGCAAAAACTCATCCACCACCACCCCTTCCGCCTAGAACTAGAGTTAATGATAATACAGTAGGTGGCGATATTGTTGTTGCTCCTTCTACTTCGCAAAACGACCAGTTGTTACCTCCACTTCCTCCACGAAAACCAAAAGACCTAAGGAATGCAGCAGATGTCAGCAGCAGTATGTCTTTATTAATTATCTGTTAATTATTATTAATTTAATTAATATGCTAATAATAATATGATTGATATATTGAGACAGCATCACGCATAAATTACAATAATTATAATATCAATGGATCTGATGAGATTTCTTCGGAAGGAAATAAAAAATTACCAAAATTACCAAATCAAAACAATAATAATAATGATGGTATTTTTATTCCATCACCATTAAGACGTTTCGACACCTGGTTCGAAACGCGACATCCATCTATACGACAGTACAAAAAAGCGTTATATGTTGCTTTAGTGTTGTTTGTGATTGGGGTTGCTCTGGTGATTCTGTTGGCTGCAATTGGGAAATTTAGTAAGAGTGGATCCGATGGTAGTGCAGATGTTGGAAGACCAGGGTTGACGTTGAGTGGAACTGGAGATGGAACTTTTTATGGTTTGTTTTTGGTTATTTGATTTTATTAGTATCTTATTACTGTATCACTATTAAACTGTTAATAATTCATATTATTAATAAATAGATCCTGGTGTGGGAGTGGGTTCGTGTGGCGGATCGAACACGGATAAGGATTTTGTTGCTGCACTTGTAAGATTCTATTACTTTATTATGAATGTTCTTAATGGAAAATAATAAATAATCACATCAATCTTGTTATAAACAAGAATTCACCTCAATTCGGAGTCTACGCGAATCCGGCAAATTCGCCTGTATGCGGTGCATGTATAAAAATCAACGGCCCAAAAGGGAGTGTTAAAGTAAAAATCATGGATAAAGTATGTTTTTGTTTTATGCGTTTATGGAATGTATCTATTTTACGATGACGTTTCTTAAGATGATGCTTATTATTGTTTTATATTTAGTGTCCTGTTTGTAAAAGTGGTGATGTTGATTTATCCCCGATTGCTTTTAATGTTTGTATTACATTCATTGCTGTTTTCTATTTTTTCACATGCATGATATTAATTTAATCCATTGATGTTAATTTGTTCCAGAAAATTGCAAATGAAGCAGACGGTCGTATAAAGATCACATGGACCGGATGTTAATTTTATTTATTTACATTTATAAATATAGATATAGATATAATAAACCTTTTTAATTTAATTATTTAATTTAATTACTAATTTAATTACTTATTCTCGCTCTTTATCGAATTTTTAATTTAATTATTTAATTTAATTACTAATTTAATTACTTATTCTCGCTCTTTATCGAATAATCATCGTTAAATTTACAATAAATAATAATAATAATTACTATATTAAAATGCTGCCTTTATCGGGATGTCAAAAAAATTTAATGTCATTGTTACAGAAACTCTTGCCATTTGGATTTTATTGTCTACGAGATAAAAAATTTTTTAATTGAACCATTGCTCATTCGTTTAATTACTACTATTTTCTTTGACGAGAAATTATCACGTTCAGCTTTACACAATTGAACTCTTAAATTCACTTTTTCTACATGCTAAACATCTTTAATTCCTTTTCAAAGTGACTATAGAGAGGATGACTATAAATAAATTTGATTGTATTATCTATAATGGATTAATTTCCTAAGCTGAATATACAATAATCTTTATGATAGTAATATAAATCTTTTATTATGTAATTCTAATCTTTGTATTTCACATTTGATAATTTATCAAAACAATTATAAATCAAATTTACTTATAAACTAAATTTTTGATATTTTCATCCTATTATCATTTTTATTTGCCCTATTAAAATATCTTTTGACTTCAAAATTTAAAGTGCTGATATGTCTAAAGCATCTTAGTTTGCACATGATATATATTAGCATTTTTATTGCAAATGAGTAAAAATGTTGGTTTAATATTTACAAAAGGGTAAAATAACCCTTTCAAAATTAATTGTATGTTGAGAGACCTGAAATAATTCACAAACCCGAGTACATTACATTCATCCATCATCATAATTACTGTCGTCATCGCTATCAACATCTTGGGGAAGCACATTTACACCAAGTCGTCCCATGATGTTTCCCGCTGGCCCAGGCAATCCTCCTTGTGCTTTGAAACTTGCGAGTAAATTCGTGACTGTGTTTAATTCTATATTCACGGGGACAAAAGTTTCATCTTCTTCTTCCTCGTCCTTATCAATTCTATCTTTGTCTTTATTAGATCCTGAAAGATTCTTTTCGATATCCTTCGAGTCTCGTACGAAAGATTTTGCCACTTTTGTGGACGCTAATTCGGTGTCCATTACATCCATGTATGATTCAATACTGGTGTCATCGTCTATTTCGGTGACGCTTGTTGTTGTGATTGTTTCGTTTGTGGCGGTGGTAAATGACAAAGATGATGATGTGCTATTATCGGGGGGAAGTGATTGTGGTCTGGTACTACTGGATGATGGAATTGTAGTGATTGGTTGATTGCTGATGGCTGAGTTTAAGGATATTCAGGTCAGTAAGTATTAATGAACGTTAGTGATAAATTGGCGCTAAAGATAACACATACGCTGATCAGCTTTACTTGTCTTTTTGAACTTCGCATTCACCATTTTTTGATACTCATCATTGGTTACACCTGATAATCATGAATAACAAACATTAGATGATAAAAGATATATAATCACATATCTATACAAACTTACCAAGTGTTCGTCTCAAAGCATTCAAGAATTCCGACGGATCAAATGAAATATCTTTATCAATCATCGAGTCTCCCCCTTCTTGGTCAGAATCGTTATTGCTGTTATCTTCATCCGAAGAATATTCGCTTTTTTAAAAAATAATAAAAAATTAAAGTTTTTTGTCATTTTAGATTATTGTTGTGTTTTTTATACATACTCCAAGAATTCTGCACCCTCCAGTCCCGATTTCTCAAAGTCAACAAATTTCTCAAAATCCTCAACCGTTTTATTTAGGTCAACTATATTCTCAAAGTTTTCGTCATCATTGTTCTTTTTCTATTATCATATACACAAGAAAAACAAAATATTTACTTTGAAGGAATATTTTTAAGTGAAATTATTTGTGTATGGAAATGTGGACAATACATACCTCTTTTGCACTACCACCAAAATTAACGTCTGTTTCCATCATATTGACCATACTTTCAAAATCTCTAGGATCGATATTCATCCACGCATCGTCGTCCTCGCGTTCATTATTGACAGAAGCCAGAACCTCGTCAGATTCCATGGGTAATTCCATTATTTCGTTTATTTGGCCGAGTGGAGACGGAGATTCATGCGCGTATTGATCTTGACTAAACAACAACACAAATGTTCATAAAATCCCCACATAAAAAGTAAAAAACATTAATCATATAAAATCATTCAAACCTGGAGATCCTTTGGCTGCGATCTTTGAGGTACTGCTGTTTCGCAAACGCGTAAAGCTCTTTGTATAGTTTCGAGCCTGGTAATTCGCCTCGATAGTACCCGCGTTTGGATAAGTTCTCTTGATATGCGTTCCAGTCTGGGTCCAAGTCAAATGGATATGTCTAATGAAATTAAATTTCGCAAACATTATATTTTAAACATTTTAAAAATATTTACAAAAGAAAAAGTTACCTCAACATTATCAAATACTCGAGTATGCAAAGATACTATTGAATTCGCGTAATAGCTATCAGTACACAAAATCTCAAAGCCACAAGCCTAATTTAATTATTGTTTCACAATTCACAAAGAATTATTTTAAAAATATGATCACGATGATGATGACGACGACAAAAAATAAAAACAAACCAACTTCATCCCAAGTTCAGCCGCTTTGAACGCTTTAGCGTCCTCCGACGGTGGCGGCAACTTAAACGGTTTTGGCGGATGAAATCGTTGACTCACGAGTTGCGCGTATAGCGTCTTGGTCATTTTCACGATTGTTGTGATGGATGTGGATGGTGGGAATTTTTCCATTTTGTAGCATGCCTTTTTTTTGTCATTATGCATACATGATATATAAGAATAACATCTAATTAAACAATTAATTAAATGATTTTTACTTACTTTCATTGCTAATTGATCACGCGTATAAAATGCTTCAACGGCAGCAGCAACAAGTTGCGGTCTATGATACAGAACATGAACAATAGCTTTTGGGATGTGAGCACGAGCGTGATGGATAATTTGGGTGGCTTTTTGTGGGTACCTATTATCGTATTATCCTGTCATAATATTATCCATCACAAATAAAATTCTTCATTCGAATGTCAAAAAAAATAATCATACTCTGCTATCCTAGTAAACACAAGTTTCTGTATCGCCTCATCAGCCTTTGTTATTTGCGGATTATTCCTCACTATATTCACGCCTTCTTCAAGGCTCAATTTACTCTTGAAAGTCTCGTTAATAGGAATTATGTGAAGATTTCCTTGGTGTATGAAAACCTAACAAATTATTATTACTATTATAATTATGCGGCGAATTTAAATAAACAAAGCAAGCGGAAAAAATTATTCAATCGAGAATTTTTTATACATACCCTGTTTTGGTCGTTACTAGGATCCAACCAATTCGGAAGCTGCATCGCCGACTCGATAAGTAGAAATTCGCCATCGTTATCTGATACGCTAAACGAATAATCATAAACAATCCAAAAATCCAATCAATTTCAGAATAAAAAAAATTGCGGGTTAGCAATATATCACACGTACTGAATAACCACGTCACTGAGTTTCAAGCTGATCTTTTGCAATAAAAACACGATAAACCATTCATCTTCGATGCAATCGCCAAAGCGCGTTTGACCAGTTAAGAAATAGTATGAAGAAGATGGTAATTGATCTAGAATATGTAGAGAATATTCCAAAATTTAAAATTACATAATTAATTAGCACTATTCTAGTCATTAAACTCGATTTCTTCAAAAGACCAATCTTCTCGCTTTACAAAAATCCATCACACTACCTGCCGCTTTTTCTTCCTTATCAATTCTCAACTGAAATGGATCTTTTTGCCATAAATAGTTTTTAAGAAACGGTTGTAATTCAGATAATATTATTGTATTTGTCTCTTGAAGGTACTTATATTGTTGCTGTTCTTTTTCTTTTTGTTCACGAGAAAAAGACTCGAGAAACGAAAAATACAATGAATAATAAACACAGTCTTCAGACACTGTTGGAAGTTCTGAAAAGTGGGAATCCATTTTTATTAGTTTTTAGATTATCATCTGGTGTTACCACGAATATTTATATTTATTGCCAAATCAAAGATGGCATGTAATACACCATCCAATAAATAATAACATACAAAAATGACATTATATTATTATTATTATCCAGCAGCAGAAGGTTTCGCAGGAAGCGAATACCGCGGACGTTGATTTCTTCGAGTAACACGATCGTGATCACGTGATCGATCACGTTTCATGTTATTTCGTTCTTTACGTACACGCGGATCGGACTCTGGATCAACGTACGGTGATCGTCGACCATCATCATGCTTGTGTTTTCTTCGATCATATTCATGGGAGTCTTCGTATGCGGGAAGACTAATAAATAATTTAGTGATTAATGTATTGATAAAATGTTCATGTACTATTCATAATTGGAACGAGAAAGAGTACTTACTCTTTCGGGTCTGCTGGCATTGGATCAGTCCAAAAATAATCATGGTCAAGTGCATCAAAAGCTGTTAAACGTTTAGCAGGGTTGAGCACTAGTAGCCTATCGAGCAAATCCGCGGCCTGTGTTCCATATCTATAATAGTTCAAAGATATTATTATTATGCCATTAATAAATCCAAAGTGAATTAATATTACCACATACTTTTGATATTCAAATACAACTTTCCGCTCATACATAATAGCAGGCTTTAGATCTCTACATCCAGGAAGTTTCTGCCATCCAGGCATCGATTTTTCATTTGGTGACCCACATAATTTGAATATAAGATCCAGTTGATCCATATCTGAGCGACCTGGAAGAATTGGTGCTCCTCGCAGCATCTCTGCAAATACACAGCTATATTTACATTGATTAATTAGTAACCATTTGATTAATTGGAAGTAAACGATTTAAAGCTGAGAATAGAAAAGTTGAATAAATACCCTACTGCCCACATATCTATTGCTGTATTATACCGCCGTTCGCCGAGCAGTAGTTCAGGTGGTCGATACCACCGTGTGACAACACATCCTGTCAGTGACTTTTCGATCATAGGCCGTGATAATCCAAAATCAGCGATTTTTAGTATTCCTTGATTGTTAATTAATAGATTGGCAGCTAATCATGACCAATTTTTTTTAAAATTAATACTTATATGAATAAAAAAGTGTGTAATTTATAGATATGAAATTTCAAATAGAAAAATATGAACACCTTTCAAATCTCGATGTAATATACGTTGCTGATGTAAATAAAATGTCCCCTCCAAAAGCTGTTTCAAATAACACTTTATTTGCGGTGGTGTAAATTTCACGGATGGATTTTCGAGTAACCCGGCTAAATCGTGATCCATATACGGGAAGACCATGTAAATAGATGGTGTCGACTCGGCATCCGTTGCTTTTGAAATTATTTATTATAATATTCTCTTTCCTCAGACATGATGATACAAAATCCCAAAGAAAACGACTAGTCTCATATTCATACCATATTGAATAGCCATGTCACTCAAACTTATCACATTTGTATGATTAAGTTGCCGTAATATTTTTATTTCGCGTATTGCAGTGATTGGAATTCCTTCTTTCTCATTGTGCATTATTATTCTTTTCAATGCGACAATTTTTCCTGAACTTTTATGTTGTCCTTTGTGCACCTCCCTTTTTTTGAATTTGTTTAAATTTAATAAAAAGTATCATATTGAAAACATTTTAAATATATATATACCCAAAGGTGCCTTCTCCAAGTTTATCGAGTATCGTATAATCTTCAATTGAAGAACATCCAGCAAACTCATGATTTCTAAAAATATTTAATTAGCAAATTTCATTTAGCTTACTCAAACCATAACATAATTACACCACTGGCAATAATTACGGATATTCTGTGAGCCCCGTATTCTCATATATATCCATTGGTGTACGCGGAGCATACGGGGACGGCGAGTCACTATAAGTATATGCTGGACTCTGTAAATCACTTGTTGTTGTCGTTATTAACTTTTCGGAACTATCATTATTTTCTAGTTTAACTAGCGTGTTGTTCTCTTCGGTTGTTTCCCACTTCAGTTCATTTGTTGGTGCAGCAGAAGCTGATGCATTTGTTGCTTGTTGTTGCTGCTGCTCCTCAAGCATATCGTCTTCTGGTGGACCCCAGCTAGGAACTTCATTCGGTAGCTCAGACGTGTCATCCATTTTTACATCGATTAGTTCTTGTGGTTCTGGTTCTGGTTCTGGTTCTTCGACTTTTTCGGTATCTATTGGTGGGTTGGAGGTTGAAGTAATATCTGTATCTTCTTTTTTGTTCTCTTGAGTTTCAAGGACAACAGATTCTGCTTCTGTTTGTTTTGAATCTGCCTCATTCTCAGCGGCAATACCCACATTAGTTTCTTCAATATTCTCCATGTCAGTGTAGATTGGAGTTGGTGTGAGATCTTCTGCCATGATTACTGTATAATGTCTAGGATTCTGTGTAGTCAAATATTTGTTGAAATTAATTTTTTTAATCCATATATTGCGTCATTTTAGATCAGCGGCTTATTTTATTGTATGAACCACATAAAGTAACTTCCGATTATCGTTTACATTTTTAAATTGAATTAAAAAGAACCGATAAGCTTTGTATTTTACTCACCACAACGCTAAATCATATAATCAAAACCAGAGCAAACTATGGCTACCTACAGAAACCTAATAACACCAAACTTGAGAAAAAGCTTTGCCGCTTTATCGATTCGGCTCTACTCAGCAACACCTGTTCGCGGACTAGCTTCTGTCGGTAATGTCATAGCTCACAACTCTGTAGACCGAACAGGTCCTCAACAACTTTCTTCTGCCGCGATATTTGCTAACGGGCCACCAAGAAACGATTGGACTCGTGAAGAAATAAAGACAGTTTATGATTCTTCTATCATGGAATTGCTGTTTTATGGGGTATTTGATTCATACGCTGCTTTATTTTGAGCAATGGGAGCAGTCTCTTTTTTCCATATACGCATAAACTTAAAGTATATGAAATTTTTAATAAAAATAAAAAAAGGCCAAAGTTCACCGCGAAAATTTCAACCCGCTTGAAGTCCAACAATGCACACTACTCAGCATAAAAACAGGTGGTTGTAGTGAAGATTGTGCATACTGTCCACAGTCTTCGCGATACAAAACAGTTGTTAAAGCACAAAAGCTTGTGGAAACTGACGAGGTTTTGGTGGCAGCGAAAAAGGCAAAAGAAGCGGGTAGTACACGGTTGGTTGGCTTTATATGATTAAAACAAAAATGTCTGGTGGATATGTTATTTACGCGTTTTTTTAATTTAGATTTTGCATGGGTGCTGCGTGGCGAGATCTTACTGGTCGGAAATCTAATTTCAAAACAATTTTGGGATATGTAAAGGAAATTAGGTGGGTAACGCTGCAATTTGATATCAATAATAATTGATTTGTCAAATATTGTTTCTTCTTTTGTGTAGAGCTATGAATATGGAAGTATGTTGTACATTAGGAATGCTTAACGAAGAACAAGCTAAATCGTTAAAAGAGGCTGGGCTTACCGCATATAATCATAATCTGGATACATCTCGAGAATATTATCCCAAAGTAACTACATGTCTATATTATAAATGCACACTATATATTTCATTAAAAAACGCGTCGATCGCATAGCTAATCTAATAATATTTTTTTTCCTTATATAGATTATAACCACTCGTTCATATGACGAACGCCTCAACACAATATCTAATGTTCGAGACGCGGGAATATCTGTCTGTTCGGGCGGAATAATTGGGTTAGGCGAGGCTCCGGATGACCGGGTCGGTATGTTACATACCTTGGCTACTATGCCTGAACATCCTGAAAGTGTGCCAATTAACGCGCTGGTCGCGGTTGAAGGCACTCCACTCGGGAAACAGGAGGTTTGTGTGTTTTTTCTTTTGGGTTAATACGATTGTTTGATTAAGCTTTAATTTTTTAATGTTTTTTTTAATGTAGCCCGTTTCGATATGGGAAATGGTTCGCATGATTTCTACAGCAAGAATTGTTATGCCTAGAGCAATGGTGAGACTTTCTGCTGGACGTATAAAATTTTCGGAACCCGAACAGGTATAAAAGACAAGAAATATTAATTTCGGCTAATCTATTAGATAGTTTCTCATTTCTTGCGTAAATAATTGTTAGGCTTTATGTTTCCTTGCCGGGGCAAATTCTATATTCACCGGTGATAAACTATTGACTACCTCGAATAATGATTATAACGCCGACCAAGAAATGTTTAAAACACTTGGTAATAACTCGAATTATTTGTTTTGTTGTTCAAAAACTTCAAATTTTATTAATAATTGTTACCTTTAATAATTGTAGGCTTAATTGTTAAATCTGCAAATTTCAACCAAGGTTCTACATCATCATCCGTATCATCATCGTCAACACACGAATCAACCGAAGCCCACCTCTGAAGCATTACAAAGTCTTTTTGGTTTTAATATAATATATACAATAGAATTTTATGTATTTTATTTTCTGTTTGTACATTAGTCAATTTAAATTTCTTAAAGTATCTGTGCGTCTAGTCGCATCCTACGCTGAAATTTTAGTTCAGATCTCATCCAATAAAGTATTAATACACAAAATCTAAACATATCAATTCAATAACGATTTCTGAGATCCGTAAATATATAATACAAGAATAACAAAATTATTAGATTATTTCAAGTAAAGCTCTGTTCGGGTCGGGTCGGAGTCGATAATTTCGGGTGGATTCGGATCGTGTTTGATCCGAAAATCGTAAAATAGTTTTTCGTCAATAACTTTTATTTTTACTAAGACACTTGTATTTTGTGTCTAAGTAGAGTTGTTCGGAATGTAATTGTGTATATACCCACAAACTTTCGTTTAATTCCAATTAATATTGAACGAGAAATAATGTTTTTTAGGCTAACCCGAATGTGCGTTCCGGGTCGGGTCACGGATTGGACCCGACCCGGTTGGAGCACTAATTTCAAGTTTAAAACTAAAAACTATTCAAAGTAAAATATTAATTTAAGACAAATTCTACTTTTTATTCACAAAGTAAAGTACCAGGTTTATACAAAATTAGTCATTTCAAACATATCAAAATATCTGTAATATACATGTGATAAAGTTAAAATGATTAACAATAGAATGGTTATATTATAAATTATTTAAAATTTCACATTTTATTTTAGATATTATTAGTAATCTAGTTTTTTTTCAAAACTAATTGGATGATTATTTTGATCAAATTAATTTTATCACATATATAATTTGTAACACTAATTACAAAAATATCAAAATATTAAAATGTTAAAATATTAAAATATCAAAATATCAAAATATTAAATATCTAAATATATAAATCTCAAAATATTAAAATATTTAAATATCAAAATATCAATTACATTAATTAATAATATTAATTAAATTAAGTAATAAAATAAATATTTAATAAAAATACAAATAATTATAAATAAATAAAATAATAATTATGAAATAATCAATAAGGATATAATATAATATTGTTTAATAAAATGCAGATAATAAAATATATTATAATACTATAAATAAGTATAACTATAAAAAAATTTGATTATATATTGTCTTTATAAGTAAATTATATTAAATAAAATGATATTTGTAATGATAATTTAAAATGATCACTTGGAATAACTATTTAAAATAATCACTTGGAATAATTATTTAAAATGATCACTTGGAATAATTATTTGAACTGGTTAGTTTATAATGATCATTAAATTAAATTACTAATTAAATAATATATAAAAAAGATCAACATTATTTTTCTTGTGTCGGATTATTTTTTCGAGTTGATCAAAATTTATGTATTTTTATTGGTTAATCTAGAAGACCCAGGTGACACTAGAAAAATTTATATGTTCGCTTCGAATCTATTCTCTTTCATTCTCAAAAAAAACTATTTTCAACATGAACAAACAGATTTTATTAATTTTCTTCTTAGTTGTATTATACGGTCTAATAATTGTACCTGCAGATTCAAAGACTCCTAAAAATTTGCAAATTGGTGATAAAAATAGTTTTGTCATTTCGTCTAGTAAAAAAATTATATACCCATCTCTTTTTAATATGCAGGTGTTAAACATCGTGTTCCTGATGGTCAATGCACAAAAAAGACAAAAGACGGGTAACAAATTAGACAATGTCTGTTCTTAATATAAAAAATCTTATTTCTATATATGATGATTTTTATTAGTGACTTGATATCCGTCCATTACACTGGAACATTATTTGAAGATGGCACAAAATTTGATTCCAGTGTTGATCGTGGTGAACCTTTTAAATTTACATTAGGTATTGCAATGAATTAATTATTTTTTGAGAATTTTGTATTTGACGAATGATTTTATAACCATCGTTTATAATTGAACTTAAATCTGTTGTGTAAAGGGACCGGGCAAGTCATTAAGGGTATTA